CGTAGGAGTAGAACCCGCCTGTAAATCTGTTATTTTAACTAGGTATATATATTGTCACGTAGGAGTAAATCACCTGTAACTCCGTTGTTTTAACTAACTATCTACCGTCATGTATGGGTAGAATTCATCTGTAACTCTATTTTAACCAAGTATATACTGTCACGTAGGAGTAGAACTCGCCTATGATTCTGTTATTTTAACTAAGTATATATTGTCACGTAGGAGTAAATCACCTGTAACTCCGTTGTTTTAACTAACTATCTACCGTCATGTATGGGTAGAATTCATCTGTAACTCTATTTTAACCAAGTATATACTGTCACGTAGGAGTAGAACTCGCCTATAATTCTGTTATTTTAACTAAGTATATATTGTCACGTAGGGGTAAATCACCTGTAACTCCGTTGATTTAACCAAGTATATACCGTCGCGTATGGGTAGAATTTACATGAACGTTAAGACATGTAAATGTGTAATTTTACTAGAAATTGTCGTTTTATTGACAACAAAATAAAAATGGAATAGACATTTGTTCGTTTTCAGATTAATATCTTGTAAAACAAGTTTCATCTTACAAACGTTGACAGTTTTACAGCGAAACAAGCGCCACTGCCATTAAGTTTTAGGTTCTAGAAGAGATTCTTTCAGTTGCCGAAAAAATCACCCTCTTAGAGGGTTCAGTATCTGTTTACTGCACATCTTTATCGGAAATAAATTAGAAAAAAAAATCATTATAGTAAATTGGATAGTGTCTGCTTATTCCTAATTAAAGTTTTTATGTACTCCATGATTATACGTGCTATCATTTCAATCTTGTAATGTATCGTACAGGCAAGGTGTGAAAAAAACAGCCACAACCTCGAACTTACAACCATCTGAGCAAAGACTGTACGGAGCGAGAAGCCTAACATCGAACACTTCAAAATAATAAACACGAATGGACATTAAGGAAACACTTCTAATTCGACACTTAAACTCAAAGCTGAACAACACCTCTGTTAGAGAGGAAGAGGTCTGGAAATAACACGACCCAGCCCCGATATAGAACGTTGTAACACCACTGCATCTCAAGTTGTGATAAAATATCATGCCTGAGATGGGGAAAGAGTGAAAACTTCGCCGAATAAACAGCATAAATAAAGATATGACGTATTTAACCTGGTCAGTACAATGTAGGACGATAGATACTTGCTCTTTCACATTGTAATGACAAAAGGTGCCGCTGGACGTTCATAACGTTTGAATACGTTATGGATGTGTACAGGATGTTGGTTTCGCTTTTAACTTGCAGTTAGATTTGATGGTTCGTGAAATTAACAAGTATTTGTGGTTCAAAAGGTGACGACATCCCTGTTCTAAATTTTTCTTTCTGTCTCTGCAAATGCATAAGGACAAATACAGCCACATGGCTGAAACCTAGAACATAATGGTATAACCTGAACGCAAGTAAATCTATATTAGGATCTAAGCGACCACTAGTATAAATATCAAATCGATGCTACATGTGGATACGTTACAGTTTGTATTAGATCTAGGCCTAAATCTAATGCTTTAATTTAGTAAATTCATAGAAGTATACACTAGCGAGAAGCCTCGCTTCCGTTGTAGCAGTGATAATACTAAACATCGAACATAATATAGCTTAGATCTCCAACTTTCTGTTATTGGTCAGAATGTTTTAGCAGTGATAATACTATACATCGAGCGTAATATAGCTTAGATCTCCAACTTTCTGTTATTGGTCAGAATGTTTTAGC